ATCATTTTTGTTGCTCCCCTCTGGACTCTTTCCAATTTATCCACATCTTTCCCAAAATGTGGTGCCCATAAATGGACACAGTACTTCAGCTGAGCCTCACCAGTGCCAAGTTCTGCGGGACAATGACCTCCCATGTCTTACATATGACACTCCTGTTAAGACACCCCAGAATATATTCGCCTTTTTTCACAACCGCATCACATTGTTGATTCATATTCAATTTGTGATCCACTATAACCACAAGATTCTTTAAAGCAGTACTCCCACCTAGACAGTTATTCTCCATTTTGTAGCTGTACATTTGAGTTTTCTTTCCTAAGTGAAATACTCTGCATTTGTCTTTATTGACTTTCATCTTGTTGATTTCAGACCAATTCTGCTATTTGTTGAGGTTGTTATGAATGCTAATCCTGTTCTCAAAGTGCTTGCAACCCCTCCTGTATTGGTGTAATCTGCAAATTTTATGAACGTCTGCTCCATTCCATTATGTGTCAGGAATGATGGGAACACTGAGCCTTGGGATGGCTCTGGGGGATTAGATTGTTGCTTTGGTGGGTGTGCATGAAAACTCTGGGGGCATGGGCATGTGGGTAAGGGAGATGGGAACAGGGAATGGGGGTAAGAAAATTGGAATCATGTTTTGCTAAAGGGGGAAATGGGAACAGGGAATGGGAGTAAGGAAGTTGGAATCATGTTTGGCTAAGGGTAGGAATGGGAACAGGGACACAGGTGTAAGGCTCTGTGGTGTCAGAGCTGGGAAGGAGGATACTAAGGAAGGAAACTGGAATCATGCTTGCTGGAAGTTCACCCCAATAAACATCGAATTGTTTGCACCTTTGGACTTCGGGTATTGTTGCTCTCTGTTCATGCGAGAAGGACCAGGGAAGTAAGTGGGTGAAGGAATAAGCCCCCTAACATCTTGGTGCCGGTGACTCGGATGCATCGCATTGGATAGGTGAGTGGCAGCCTGTAAGTCCCCCTCCCCAACAGTCCGCGCAGCTGCTTGGAGGGGGTATCGCAAACTCTTGTGATGGTAGTTGCGGGTTCTGGCAAGCCAGGGTAAAGGATTTTTGGATAAATGGATAAGGGAGAACCAGGGCCCATACCAGGTACAGGGGTCAACCTGGGATGAGATTAAAAAGGAAATGGAGGAAGTGTTAGGGGACCCAGAGGTATGGGGGGTGGCTGAGGAGCCCACCCTCCTTGGTATATGGGTAGTGGAAGAAGGTCCCTGCCCATGGGGACTGAATGCCTTCCAGGGAAAGGAGGCACTTCAGTCTGCTTGTGAGAGGTTTGAAGTAAGGGCAGCATTATGGGAAGCTGCCAGTAATCTTTCAAGTTTGGTGCTGCTTCAGCAAGGGCTGCTGAAGGGTTGTAAATTAGTTAGGGGTAGTGAAAGATGATTTGGCACAAAAGGGTTTAAAGTCAAAAGCAGAGTTAACAGACCACCTTTAGAGACTGGATCTGAGACTTGGTCCTGGGGGAGTGGAGGAAAAAAAAAAAAAGTTTTAAAGTGCAACCTGCCTTTCCACACTCTTTTGTTTTTCTGAAGTTTTAATGGAGGGTACTTTGGATACTTATGTGAGATGTCAAGAAGGAAGTTTTTGTTTAATGATAAAACCCAGTTATATAAATGTAACTGTATGTGCAACTCTGTGCAGTCACATTGGATGGAAGCTTGGTAATTAAATTATCCAAGGAGGTCAGGTAGAGTGGCTACTACCACCACTATGCTTCTGTCCACAGAAACCTTTACAGCTAATCTGAGGAAAAATGGGCCCTTTTCACACAGAAATGGTCTATAAGGGACTGCTGCAGGCAGCAGGCAGAGAGAGAATCTGATCAAAATTATTTGACTTTTGGGTAATGTAATCAAAATCACTAAAGGATGGAAGGGGTTTCTATTGGAACTTAACTTGGCTGCCACTGGTTGTGTCTAGTTGTACAAGATGGAAGTGTAATCGGGTACAGTTGTGTAAAAAGAGTAATTACAGTGCAAGGGATGTTAGGCAAAACAGAATTTTGTGTGTGTGCGCACAGGTAAAAGAAAAGGAAAAGGGGAGGAATGATGGGAACACTGAGCCTTGGGATGGCTCTGGGGGATTAAATTGTTGCTTTGGTGGGTGTGCATGAAAACTCTGTGGGCATGGGCATGTGGGTAAGGGGGATGGGAACAGGGAATGGGGGTAAGAAAATTGGAATCATGTTTTGCTAAAGGGGGAAATGGGAATAGGGAATGGGAGTAAGGAAGTTGGAATCATGTTTGGCTAAGGGTAGGAATGGGAACAGGGACACAGGTGTAAGGCTCTGTGGTGTCAGAGCTGGGAAGGAGGATACTAAGGAAGGAAACTGGAATCATGCTTGCTGGAAGTTCACCCCAATAAACATCGAATTGTTTGCACCTTTGGACTTCGGGTATTGTTGCTCTCTGTTCATGCAAGAAGGACCAGGGAAGTAAGTGGGTGAAGGAATAAGCCCCCTAACATGAATGCTAATCCTGTTCTCAAAGTGCTTGCAACCCCTCCTGTATTGGCGTAATCTGCAAATTTTATGAACGTCTGCTCCATTCCATTATGTGTCATTAATGAAAATATTGAATAATACCGGATGCAGGGATGACCTCTGCGCAACCCCATTCAATATGCCTTCCAAGTTTGACAATGAATCATTGATGACTACTATTTGAGTATGGTCTTTCAACCAGTTGACCACTCACCTTATAGTAATTTCATCTGGACTGCATTTCCCTAATTTGCTTATGAGAATGTAATCTGGGACTGTGCCAAAAGCCTTATTGAAATCAAAATATATCACATCTATTGCTTCCGCCCATCTGCTATGACAGTAACCTTGGCAAAGAAGGAAATTAGGTTGGTTTGGCATGTTTTGTTCTTGACAAATGCATGCTGGCTATTCCTTATATTCCTATTATCTTCTAGGTGCTTACAAATTGATTGTTTAATAATTTGTTCCAGTATCTTCCCAAGTATTCAAGTTAGGCTGACTGGTCTATAATTCCTCAGCTGCTGTTTGTTTCCCTTTTTAAAGATAGGTACTATGTTGTCCTTCTCCAGTCCTCTGGGACTGCTCCTTGAATTCACAAAGGTAATTGGTAACTGTTATGAGATTGCTCCAGCTAGTTCCTTAATATGAATTTCATCAGGCCCTGCTGACTATAATACATCTAAATAATCTTAAAGCTGTTACCCTATTTTGGCTTGTGTTCCTTCCCCCTTGTTAATATTAATTGTGTTGAATATCTGGTCATCATTAACCTTTTTAGTGAAGGCTAATGTAATATAGGCATTAAACACCTCAGCCTTTTTGAGGTCATCAGTTATTAGTGCTCCTTCCCCGCTAAGCAGAGGACCTACAATTTACTTCATCTTTCTCTAGCTCCTGATATATTTTAAAAAACCTCTTCCAATTTTCTTTTATGTTCCTTGCTAAATGTGCCTTAGCCTTTCTGATTTTGTCCCTATGTGCTTGTGTTTTGCTTTTTGTACTCCTTCTTCGTCCATATTTTCACTTTTTATAGTGTTCCTTTTTGATTTTCAGGTAATTAAAGAGCACCTGATGGAACTATATTGGCCTCTTGCTTTCTATCTTTCCTTCTCATCTGAATAGCCTGCAATTTTGCCTTTAATATTGTCTCTTTGAGAAACTGCCAGCTCTCCTAAATTCCTTTATCCCTTAGATTTTCCTCACATGCGACCTTACCTACCAGTTCCCTGAGTTTGTTAATAGCTACTTTTTTGAAGTCCATTGTCCTTATTCTGCTGGTTTCACTCCTTCCATTCTTTAGAATCAAGAAATCTACTATTTCATGAAAAGAAAAGGAGTACTTGTGGCACCTTAGAGACTAACCAATTTATTTGAGCATGAGCTTTCGTGAGCTACAGCTCACTTCATCGGATGCATACCGTGGAAACTGTAGAAGACATTATATACACACAGAGACCATGAAACAACACCTCCTCCCACCCCACTGTCCTGCTGGTAATAGCTTATCTAAAGTGATCATCAAGTTGGGCCATTTCCAGCACAAATCCAGGTTCTCTCACCCTCCGCCCCCACCCCCCCACAAACTCACTCTCCTTACCAGCAGGAGAGTGAGTTTGTGTGTGTATGGGGGTGGGGGGGAAGTGAGAAAACCTGGATCTATGCAGGAAATAGCCCGACTTGATTATGTAAAGAGTTGTCACTTTGGATGGGCTAGCACCAGCAGGAGAGTGAATTTGTGTGGGGGGGTGGAGGGTGAGAAAACCTGGATTTGTGCTGGAAATGGCCCACCTGTTGATCACTTTAGATAAGCTATTACCAGCAGGACAGTGGGGTGGGAGGAGGTATTGTTTCATATTCTCTGTGTGTATATAAAGTCTGCTGCAGTTTCCACGGTACACATCTGATGAAGTGAGCTGTGGCTCACGAAAGCTCATGCTCAAATAAATTGGTTAGTCTCTAAGGTGCCACAAGTACTCCTTTTCTTTTCACACACACAAACTCACTCTCCTTACCAGCAGGACAGTGATCCTTACAACCCTTACAGGCCAGGAAGCTGCAGTCGGAGAGAGCGGGACAGGGTCGCTCTCGCGTTGGCACCCACGTTCGCCCAGCCTCCCCCGGTGATCACGCAGGCACGCCCGGCAGCCCCCTCTCCCCCGTCTCTGGGGCTGCTCCCAGGGCAGGCCCGCTGGAACAGACGCGCTGCCTGGGCTGCGGGGAAAGCGGCGCGTGCCCCCCGGCACGTTTCTCCTGCATGGTTCTGTGCGGGGGGCACGGGAAAACGCGGGCCCATAGGTTCTGCGCTCCCTCTCCGAGGAGGACGGGTGGGCTGGGGAGTAGGGCTGGCCGCGGGGGGCCGGGGTGCTACGAGGAGGGTGGATTGAGGGGGGCTGGGCTGAGCCCAGAACCCTCCCATATCTGGGCTCCGGAGGACGGAAGCGCACCAGTGCGGGTTGGGCGGTGTCGCTCTGACGCTCTTTAGACCGGAAGTGACGCAATCAGCTGCCCCAGCGACGGGCGCTCACATCCTGCAAGAAGCGGAAGTGACCCATTTGCCCACCTGCCTTCTCTGGGCACCCTCGGCCTTTCCCTGGCCGAGGGGTAGCGGGCGCATCAGTGCGCCACCTCCCTCATCTGTCCCTGATTGGCGGTCGCTCGTCTTGCTGCCTGGCGCGGGCTCGGGTAGCTCCTGACGGGGCCGGGGGAACAAAGAGGAGACACGGGGTAGGCCGCGCCGCCGGCTCCAGGGTGAGCTGGGAGCCGGAGCCCGAGCTGGGCCGCCGCCGCCGTTGCTGCCACCACCACCACGGTGGGGCTGTGCCAGGAGAGAGCTTCCCTGGAGTTCTGTCTGCGCCCAGCCCGGGCGGGCTTTCCCCGGCTGGAGCCAGCCCCAGGCTCTGCTGCCCCGGTCCCGAGCCGAGACACCAGGTGAGGGAGAGATCTCGGAGCCAGCGCAGGGGCGGGCCGGGAAGAGCCTCTGCACAAAGGCTCCGAGAGCCGCCGGTCTCACCCCCTGGGGATCTGCTCCCCAGTGGGGAACGCGCCTGGGCTGGAGGGGGCTGCGCAGGATCTGCCCCAGAGGCAAAACGCGGGGTTCCGGTGGTGAAAGAGCAGGGGCGGGGCCCAGTGCGGTTTCCCCTCTGCGTGTCTGGAGTCGGAGGGGTCCGGCCCAGGCGGGATGGAAAATCAACCGGAGATGGAGGGCAAGGAAGGACGGTGTGAAATGTGCTGGATTGAACTGTCTCTGCAGCCAGGGATCTCCGGGGCAGACGAGCAGGTGACACAGTGAGGGGGATTAATGAAATCCTCTCTAATTTCATCACTTCTCTCTCAAATAGTGACAACCAGTGCTCCTGCATTTCTCCCTAATTGTCACCAATGGATATAAAATCCATGTAGATTTCTCCCTTTTTCTATCAAATTATTGACCCTTTCTCTAGTCTCCTCCTCAGATTTTGCCTCATTTTCTCTCTAACTCTCCAATGTCAATTTTAACTCTCCTCTAATTTGGGATATTTTTCCATCCATTTGATGTGCTGCAAATTGTCCATCTTTAGGTGGGAAATTGTTCCCCTGAGTCATTCAGCAAATGGGAAGGAGGTTAATGGGTGTAGCCTGGACAGCACTGAGACATGGCTACCTCTGGGGTGGGATGGGATGGGATGGGATGACCGTTCTCTGCCAGCAACAAGGCATGAAAGGGCACAGGAGAAGAAAGGAGGAAGAAGTGTCCCCAGTGGAGACTGTCCAGTCCCAGCTCCTGACCCCCAACTGCCCAACACAGCTCCCCACCCCCCAACCATCAGCTGCCAGTTACATGCCCACCTCTTCTGCTGGCCCCTCCCCACTGCCAGGGAGTCTTCCTGTTCCACGCGCCTATCACTTGCTCTCTTAAAGCAGCTTCCCAAATGCCTCCCTGCTGCCCATGTGAATGGTGTGTGTGGGCAGGAGACTTACTGTCTGTTTCTTGAATTTCCATACACAGTCCCTTCTAAACTGTCCCACTACTCTCACTTATTTAAATCAGTATAAAATCCTTTCAGCTCTTGGTGGTTTTCTCTCATTATCTATTTTTTTTCTATTTCCTCTCCAATTCTCAAAGATTGATATATTCTCATCTAGAATACTGTGTGCAGTTCTGATCTCCCATGTTTAAGAAGGATGAAATCAAACTGGAAGAGGTACAGAGAAGAGCTACTAGGATGATCCGAGGAATGGAAAACCTGTCTTATGAAGGAGACTCAAGGAGCGTGGCTTGTTTAGCCTAACCAAAAGAAGGCTGAGGGGAAATACGATTGCTCTCTATAAATATATCAGAGGGGTAAATACCAGGGAGGGAGAGGAATTATTTAAGCTCAGCACCAATGTGGACACAAGAACAAATGGATATAAACTGGCCATCGGGAAGTTTAGACTTGAAATTAGATGAAGGTTTCTAACCATCAGAAGAGTGAAGTTCTGGAACAGCCTTCCAAGGGAAGTAGTGGGGACAAAAGACCTATCTGGTTTCAAGATTAAACTCAATAATTTTATAGAAGGGATGGTATGATGGGATAACATGATTTTGGCAATTAATTGATCTTTAACTATTCATGGTAAATAGGCCCAATGGCCTGTGATGGGATGTTAGATGGGGTGGGATCTGAGTTACTACAGAGAATTTTTTCCTGGGTATCTGGCTGGTGAATCTTGCCCACATGCTCAGGGTTCAGCTGATTGCCATATATGGGGTCGGGAAGGAATTTTCCTCCAGGGCAGATTGGCAAAGGCCCTGGGGGTTTATCGCCTTCCTTTGTAGCTTGGGGCACGGCTCACTTGCTGGAGGATTCTCTGCACCTTGAAGTCTTTAAACCATGATTTGAAGAATTCAGTAGCTCAGAAATAGGTGAGGTTTATTGCAGGGGTGGGTGGGTGAGATTCTGTGGCCTGCATTGTGCAGGAGGTCAGACTAGATGTTAATAATGATCTCTTCTGACCTTAATATCTATGAATCTATGAAAAAAATATATATATACTGTATGCAGTGGTGTAGTAGCCATGGTGGTCCCAGGATATTAGAGGCTGCCCCCTTGATTTATATACAAACTTTTGGTGTTATTCTCCATCCCATTCCTCATGAATCCAAATATTAACTTTTTTGCGGCAGCTGTGCACTGAGTGCAGTTTTTCGTTGAGCTCTTTACAGCAACATGTAGGTCCCTTTCTTGAGTTGATAGTTAATTTACAACCCAGTAAGGTGTATCAGGAGTGTTAGAGAGCTTATTCCTTCACTCTCCCACTTCCCTGGTCCTTCTGTCATGAACAGAGAGCAACAATACCTGAAGTCTGAAGGTGCAAACAATTTAATGTTTATTGGGGTGAACTTCCAGCAATCTTAAATCCAAGTTCCTTTTTCCTTATTTTCGAATCCCAACTTACTTCCTGTTGGCCCCTAATTTATATAGTAATATTCTTAGCTATACCTTAACCAATCATTCTACTGAAATTTACCTAACCAATCCTAACATTATGTAACATGATTAGCTAACCAATTATATCTCACCACCTTAGTTTACACCCAGCAAAATTAATTGTACAGCAGACAGAATCACAGAACCAGACAGAGACCATGCAAATAAACAATAGCAAAGTGGGAACTGTCATAAATATAAAGGGAAGGGTAAATCCCTTTAAAATCCCTCCTGGCCAGAGGAAAAATCCTCTCACTTGTAAAGGGTTAAGAAGCTAGGATAACCTCACTGGCACCTGACCAAAATGACCAATGAAGAGACAAGATACTTTCAAAAGCTGAGGGGAGGGAAAAACAAAGGGTCTGTCTGTGTGATGCTTTTGCCAGGGACAGAACAGGAATGGAGTCTTAGAACTTAGTAAGTAATCTAGCTAGATATGCGTTAGATTATGATTTCTCTAAATAGCTGAGAAATTAAGTTGTGCTGAATAGAATGAATATTCCTGTCTGTGTGTCTTTTTGTAACTTAAAGTTTTGCCTAGAGGGATTCTCTATGTTTTGAATCTAATTACCCTGTAAGGTATTTACCATCCTGATTTTACAGAAGTGATTCTTTTTTACTTTTTACTTCTATTAAAATCCTTTTTTTCAGAAACTAAATGCTTTTTCCTTGTTCTTAAGATCCAGGGGTTTGAGTCTGTGGTCACCTATGCGAATTGGTGAGGATTTTTACCAAATCTTCCCCAGGAAGTGGGTTGGGAGGATTTTGGGGGGGAAAGACGTCTCCAAACAACGCTTTCCTAATAAAAATAAACCCAGATAAACGTTTGGTGGTGGCAGTGGAAGTCCAAGGGCAAAGGATAAAATAGTTTGTACTTTGGGGAAGTTTTAACCTAAGCTAGTAAAAGTAAGCTTAGGAGGTTTTCATGCAGGTCCCCACATCTGTACCCTAGAGTTCTGAGTGGGGAAGGAACCTTGAGAGGAACTATAATGACAAAACAATACAGAAGTAAGGATTTCACAACTACGTCTATAAAGACATAAGGGTTTCCCAGCTGTGTCTATTGATAAGTGAGTTCTTACCAGACAGAAAACTATCAAACTAAATTTCCTTTTACATCTTCTAGGCTCTTCCCTTTCTCTGGAGGTGATAGATCGGATCACCTTCCTAACAGCCCCATATTAACTAGTTTGGAATGTGAGGATGTGACCGTATGCTTCCCAGCTTATGGCTGCCTCTGCTGCTTAGCCAAAGGCATTGGCCTAAGAACAGGGCCTCAGACTGTCACAGTGAGAGAAGGCCCTTACACAGTTTCTTTCTTGTATACCTCTATTGCAATTTGAAGCAATTTGTTGGGAGCAGGAGGGTTGCAGAAAGCAGGCTTGTCTCCCACCGCATGCCTATTCTGAGCGGCGGAACAGGTTGTTGATAGACGCCTTCACTTCACAGGAATCTCCCTCAGAAATCTCCAGAAAACTCTCTTGGAGATACTGGGCAATCCACTGTTGCAGGTTCCTTGGCAGAGCTGCTTTGTTTCTTGCCGCATTAACGGTAACTTTCCCGGGCCACTGTGCCGTCATGGGGGAACCATTGCTGCACACAGGCGAGCTGCATAGGGGCCAGAGCGGAAGCTGCAGGCTTGGAGAAGACCCTGATTCCCTGCTCACCCTCAGCAGCGAGATATCTTCCATAATGATCACATCCTATGGAAAGTATGGGGACAGGAATGATTATCAGTGCCTCCCAAGGTGCAGAGAATCCTCCAGCAAGTGAGCCATGCCCCAAGCTACAAAGGAAGGCGATAAACCCCCAGGGCCTTTGCCAATCTGCCCTGGAGGAAAATTCCCCCCCCGTCCTTGTTATACTTGGAAAATGAAAACTTTTAATCCAGCATGCTGGCTCTTCCCAAGAGCCACATGCCCAGTGTACAGCACGGTCTGGGAAGAGTGATTTACCCTGCCCCTGTGGCTACTCAGTATTTTGAGGGTCTTATGGCTCGTGTGCTTGTCTGGGGTCAGCCAGTTAGTGCAATTATGTTATGCAATTATGTTAAACCCACTTACTGCATCATATGCACCAGTCACCTCCTAGCATTACAAGCACTGCAATCTCGAGCATAGCACCAAATATTAGTGGCTTTCAGCTTCAGGTTGCTGCCTCAAGGCATCCCTGATCCTTATGGCCCCGCGCTGTGCCCCTCTAATAGCCCTGGTCTCCAGCTGTTCAAACTCAGCCTCCAGGTGTTGAGCCTCTGCGGTCCAGCCCTGAGTGAAGCTTTCACTCTTCTGTGATGTTATTGACATAAACTATGACTGTATAGATCATTGTTTCAACCACTGTGGTGCAGAATTCTTCTAGGAATAAAGAGCCTGGGGGGAATTGTGATGTAACATTACTGTCCTCTTCTTGCCCTGACAGGCTGAAGCGTTACATCCCATCCTTCTGGAGGACAGGGAAGGGAAATAGCTGCAGTGAAACCAGTTCAGGTAGGGATTATCAGGGAGTTTCTGGTGGGTTCCTGTTGGATGGAGAAAGGCAGTAAATACATAGGAGGTGGGTGCTTCTGCAGGGTGTAACTTGGTCGGAGGTGGGAAGGGGCAGGAAATACACAGGGTGGAGAAAGGGAGTGGGACAGGGTGTGACAAACCTGCTGGGATTTGTTTACTGTGGTGCCTAGATTCTAGGAACACACCCATGGAGTTAGTGGAAATTTCCTAACTTGTGGAACAGGAAACAACCCCCATCAACTGGGCTGGGAAAATTCCCAGATGCTGGAGCCTGAACCTACTAGCTAGAGGATGCTATGAGATATGAAGGGGCACTCACCATTGCGGCCTAGGGAAGACTCCCATCCCATCCCGCTGCTGGCACTGGGGAGGGTGTTGGGATTCCTGCCAGGGAGTTGTCCCTGCGCCCTGCTGGGGACTCCATCTCCTGTATCAACCTCTGGCTAGTAGGTGAGTGATGTATGTGAAGACCCCTGCCCCCTCTATCTGCTGGGAGTGGTGAAGGGCTCTCTTTCTCCCCTCACCTTGATGCTTCCTGGCTGCTCTGATGGGGTGGGGGTGGGACTCTGCTGACTGTCCACCTTCCAGAACTTCTATGTGATCGGCCCTCCACCCCTGTGAATAGTGGGGTTGTCACTGGGCAGCGGATTCTGAGGGGGTGGCTCTTGCTCTTTCAGGGGCCAGTGAGCTTTGAGGAGGTGGCTGTGTATTTCATCAAGGAAGAGTGGGCTCTGCTGGACCCTGCTCAGAGAGTTCTCTACAGGCAAGTCATGCAGGAGAACTATGATAATTTGACCTCACTGGGTAAGGATTCCTGTTCCCTTGATTATTAGACGAGGAAATGAAGAGTTAAGATTCACAACACCCCACAATGCAACCTCAACTCTGCCTTGTTTCAGCAACACCCCGACAGGCCAATGACACACACATGAGCACTCTACCATCCCCTCCCACAGAACACTTAGGGAACAGCGCACGGGAGCAGGATAGCACAAAGTCTAACACCTTCTCTTTGCTAAGGCAAAACTTGGGGTAGGTCCGGTGTAGGGAACAGAAGCTACCTACACCTGGCCTGCACTCACTGAGCCTACTGCATACAATCCATCTCAGACTTTCATAACGTTACCACCCCTTTACGCTTGCACTGAGGATTCCTTCTGAGTCATTGCTTTCAGTTACCCCTCACTGAGTCCTGTATGCCACCAGACTGCTGACAATCCCCATGCAAGATGTGACGAAGTGGGGGTTTTATTAGTCTTGCTATGTTGCATGTGAGTCTTACTGTCCTGTACGGATACTGTGTGTACCTTAGTTTCCCTGTGTACTGCACCAATACTTCGGTGGTGGGAATTGGGTGTGAGATTTTTGCTGAGGCTCTCGGGGCAGGTGAGACTGCCTAGCTATTTGCAGCTATGTAACCTGAGACCCAGGAGGGGGGGTTCAACCAGGTGACACCTTTGGCCCAGGAAGCGAGGCAACGAAAAGGAGGAGGGGCATGAAGGGGGTGTCAGAGGTGAGGTGGCTGGAGGCTGGCAGTCTTGGGGGAACTGGAAGAGGGGGAATCCAGGGTGTCTAGCCCAGGATTCCCAAGATGGACTTGGCTGAAAGTCACTGATGTCTGTAATAACAAGCTTTGTTCTATGCTGTGGTCCTGTCTAAAAATAAACCTCCTCTTTTACGCTGGCTGAGAGTCATGTCTGACTGCGGAATTGGGGTGCAGGGCCCCCTGGCTTCCCCAGGAGCCCTGCAGGTGCAGACTCGCTGTGGGAAGTGCACGGTGTGAAAAGGGGATGCTGAATGCTCCAAGGTCAGCCCCAGGAAGGCCGAAGCTGTGTAAGCTTCTTGCACCGGAGACCATATGCTCAGAGAGAGGAGGCTCCCCCAGAGTCATAGAATATCAGGGTTGGAAGGGACCTCAGGAGGTCATCTAGTCCAACCCCCTGCTCAAAGCAGTCCTAACTGGCTTCATATGAAGTAGTTCCAAAGCATCGCCTGGTGACTCCGTGACACAAGAACACACACTTGTCACTTTTTATTAACACAATCTACAATGCTCAGCACTGAAATGAGGAATACCTGTTCCATCTGGTTTCACATGCATCTCTCTGCGGATCACAGTCACAGCTATGCCAAGCTGCTCCAACTTATCCTTCCACCATTCATTTAAAGCTACAGCTGAAGTGCATGCAGATAAATGCTGGTATTCAAATCTGAGGAACACAACATGTAATGGCATGTGCTTAGTCCTTACTCCTATTGATTAATACATTTTGAGGCCATGGAGTTTCAGCCAGTTACCGTTATAGTGAGCTGAATACCTTGTGTTTGACGAAAACATCTTCCTGAAAGGCATCAGTCTTGACTTGAAGACTGCAAGAGATGGAAAATTTGCCACTCCCCTGCATAGTTTTTTAACCTTTGCACCACGCTTCCTGACTGAATCCCAGTGACATTTGCCTGCTCCAGGGTTAGGGGATATGGGCAGAGTTAAGGTTGTGTTGCAGGGGTGTCATGTAGTTTAGTTTATTTCCTGGTTTTCAGAGGCTTTATCTTTTGCCAACATCCATATGCTGGAATGGCATGAGGCTGCACTGGGCAACTTTAACTCTGCTTTAAAGTACTTTATGGGCGTTTAATTTCCTTGACTTTCTTTTTAATGGACTTGTTTGCCTCTATAACTCTTTCTACACTAGAGCTTTTGCCAGCAATTTATGTCAGGTAGGGATGTGATTTTTCACATCGCTAACTGCCAGAGCTATGCTGGTGAAACTTTTAAGTAGCAACCAGTCCAATACCTCGATGTAGATTTTAAAGCACTTCAAAATATTGCTCTTAACACAGATTTTGATATCAAGGCAAAAATTCCAAGGAGAACTCCTGCCGAAAGTGAGAAAAATCCACAACACGCTTTGTCTGAATGTTGTCAGTGATAAGTCTCAGAGTCAGATGCATGTAGCTCAGGTTCAGTGGCCACAGCATGTCCTCTTGAGCCAACCAATTACTGTGAGGGTAGATTCCTGGAAATTCTGGCTGTTAAAAGAGCATTAGTCTTGCTGCACATGTAAATTTCAGTCTCTTGGACTCATCATTCGATGATGGTGTACGGAGGAGGGTTTTAGGTTTATTAGGAACTAGGCAAAGGACGAGCCTATATAGGAAGTGTGGGCTCCATCTGAACCACAATGGAACCAGATTTCTGACCTGTAAAATTAAAAAGTTCATAGAGGAGATTTAAACTAATGGCTGGGGGAAAGGCAACACATGATTCAGACTGAGACCGATCCTTTGGGTGAGGATCTCTTAATGGGGGTTCTTTACTAGGATATAGAGAGGAGGGACTAGAAGTTGATTAGGTAAAGAAAGGGGAAAAAAATACATAGGCAGGAGTTGTAGACCAAGCTGGATGAGCAAGCACCTTAGAGAGGTGATTAAGAAAAAGCAGAAAGCCTACAGGGAGTGGAAGATGGGAGAGATTAGCAAGGAAAGCTACCTTATTGAGGTCAGAACATGTAGGGATAAAGTGAGACAGGCCAAAAGCCGTGTAGAGTTGGACCTTGCAAAGGGAATTAAAACCAATAGTAAAAGGTTCTATAGCCGTCTAAATAACAAGAAAACAAAGAAAGAGGTGGGACGGCTAAACACTGAGGATGGAGGTTAAGGATAATCTAGGCATGACCCAATATCTAAATAAATACTTTGCCTCAGTCTTTAATGAGGAGCTTAGGGATAATGGTAGGATGACAAATAGGAATGAGGATATGGAGGTAGATATTACCAAGGTACCGAGGTAGAAGCCAAACTTGAACAGCTTAATGGGACTAAATCGGGGGGCCCAGATAGTCTTCATCCAAGAATATTAAAGGAACTGGCACATGAAATTGCAAGCCAATTAGCAAAAAAATTTAATGAATCTGTAAACTCAGGAGTTGTACCGTATGACTGAAGAATTGCTAACATAGTTCCTATTTTTAAGAAAGGAAAAAAAGTGATCCGGGTAACTACAGGCCTGTTAGTTTGACATCTGTAGTATGCAAGGTTTTGGAAAAAATTTTGAAGGAGAAAGTAGTTAAGGACATTGAGGTCAATGGTAATTGGGACAAAATATAACATGGTTTTACAAAAGGTAGATCGTGTCAAACCAACCTGATCACCTTCTTTGAGAAGGTAACAGATTTTTTAGACATAGGGAATGCAGTGGATCTAATTTACCTAGATTTCAGTAAGGCATTTGATATGGTTCCACATGGGGAATTATTAGCTAAAATGGAAAAGTTGGGGATCAATATGAAAATTGAAAGGTGGATAAGGAACTGGTTAACAGGGAGACTACAGTGGGTCACACTGAACGATGAACTGTCAAGCTGGAAGGAGGTTACTAGTGGAGTTCCTCAGGGATCGGTTTTGGGACCAATCTTATTTAATCTTTTTATTATTGACCTTGGCACAAAAAGCAGGAATGTGCTAATAAAGTTTGTGGATGACTGTGATGAAGCGGGACTGTTCTTAATGTTTCCTCTGAATATTGTGGGGGTGCCTCAATTTCCCCTATGCAGTTCTTAAGTATCTAGGTGGTGGGATAAGGGTGTATGATCATTGCAGAGCCCTAGAGGGCAGGTGTGTACAGGGGTCTGGACACAGAGAATTGCCGACACCTTGTTTCCTGGCAACTGATGGCCTGGCCCTTCCCCCCTGCAAGGTGAGAGCTGAAGGGTTGGAGAACAAAGGAATCCGGTGACCTCCTGGCCCGGGAAAGGGACAAAGCCCAGAGGAGGAGGGCCTGGAGAGAGTTTCAATTTGGGTCTGGCTGGGGACATGGAGTGAAGTGCAGACCTGGTTGTGTGGCTCACTGCCCCCCAAAATGGACCCAGCTGAGGGGTCCTGTTCTCTGCACCTACAAGCTCTGTGTTAGACTGTGTTCCTGTCGTCTAATAAACCTTCTGTTTTACTGGCTGGCTGAGAGTCACGTCTGACTGCAGAGTTGGGGTGCAGGACCCTCTGGCTTCCCCAGGACCCCGCCTGGGCAGACTCGCTGTGGGAAGCGCATGGAGGGGCAGAGGATGCTGAATGCTCCGAGGTCAGACCCAGGAAGGCGGAAGTTATGTGAGCTGTGTGTCCTGAAGACAGTCTGCTCACAGAAAGGAGACTTCCCCAGAGTCCTGACTGGTTTTGTAGGGAGCAGTTCCAGAGCATCACCCGGGGACTCCGTGACAACTGACACAAGGCTGGGAGGTATTGCTAATGCAGAGAAGGACCGGGGATATCATACAGGAAGATCTGGATGACCTTGTAAACTGGAGTAATAGTAATAGGATGAAATTTAATAATGAAAGTGCAAGGTCATGCATTTAGGGATCAATAACAAGTATTTTGGTTATAAACTGGGGACGCATCATTGGAAGTAACAGAGGAGGAGAAGGACCTCGGAGTATTGGTTGATCACAGGATAACTATGAGCTGCCAATGTGATATGGCCATGAAGAAAGCTAATGTGGTCTTGGGATGTGTCAAGGTTCCTTCCCCACTCTGAACTCTAGGGTACAGATGTGGGGACCTGCATGAAAGACCCCCTAAGCTTATTCTTACCAGCTTAGGTTAAAAACTTCCTCAAGGTACAAACTTTGCCTTGTCCTTGAACCCTATGCTACCATCAGAGGAGTGAAGTTCTGGAACAGCTTTCCAAGGGAAGCAGTGGAGGCAAAAGAGCTATCTGGCTTCAAGACTAAGCTTGATAAATTTATGGAAGGGATGATATGATGGGATAGCCTAATTCTGGCAATTAATTAATCTTCAACTATTAGCGGTAGATATGCCCAATGGCCTGTGATAGGATGTTAGATGGGGTGGGATCTGAGTTCCTACAGAGAATTCTTTCCTGGGTGCCTGGCTGGTGAGTCTTGCCCACATGCTCCGGGTTTAGCTGATCGCCATATTTGGGGTCGGGAAGGAATTTTCCTCCAGGGCAGATTGGCAGAGGCCCTGGGGGTTTTTCACCTTCGTCTGCAGCACTGGGCATAGGTCACTTACTGGAGGATTCTCTGCACCTCAAAGTCTTTAAAACACAATTTGAGGACTTCAATAGCTCAGACATAGGTTAGAGGTTTGTTACAGGAGTGGGTGGGTGAGATTCTGTGGCCTGCATTGTGCAGGAGGTCAGACTAGATGATCATAATGGTCCCTTCTGACCTTAAAGTCTATGATTCTATGAAAGGTAGGAGCTGAAGAGAAACAGTCAGATGAAAGAGCCCTATTCAATTACATCACATGAAGACAGACAAGTAAATATTGACAAATTTTATAAGTGCTTGTATACAAATGGAAGAAGGCTAAATACTAAGATGGGTGAACTTGAGTGCCTGCTTTTAAAGGAGGATATTGACATAGTAAAAAGAAAAGGAGTACTTGTAGCACCTTAGAGACTAACCAATTTATTTGAGCATGAGCTTTCGTGAGCTACAGCTCACTTCATCAGATGCATACCGTGGAAACTGCAGCAGACTTTATATATACACAGAGAATATGAAACAATACCTCCTCCCACCCCACTGTCCTGCTGGTAATAGCTTATCTAAAGTGATCATCAGGTGGGCCATTTCCAGCACAAATCCAGGTTTTCTCACCCTCCACCCCCCACACACACAAATTCACTCTCCTGCTGGTGCTAGCCCATCCAAAGTGACAACTCTTTACATAATCAAGTCGGGCTATTTCCTGCATAAATCCAGGTTTTCTCACATCCCCCCCACCCCCATACACACACAAACTCACTCTCCTGCTGGTAATAGCTCATCTAAACTGACCACTCTCCAAGTTTAAATCCAAGTTAAACCAGAATATCTGGGGGGGGGGGGGGGAGAGTAGGAAAAAACAAGAGGAAACAGGCTACCTTGCATAATGACTTAGCCACTCCCAGTCTCTATTTAAGCCTAAATTAATAGTATCCAATTTGCAAATGAATTCCAATTCAGCAGTTTCTCGCTGGAGTCTGGATTTGAAGTTTTTTTGTTTTAAGATAGCGACCTTCATGTCTGTGATTGCGTGACCAGAGAGATTGAAGTGTTCTCCGACTGGTTTATGAATGTTATAATTCTTGACATCTGATTTGTCAAGACCACACGATCCATCGTCTACAGCCAAGCTCTGCGATACAACCGCATTTGCTCCAACCCCTCAGACAGAGACAAACACCTACAAGATCTCTGTCAAGCTTTCT